TTTTTGAAAAATGTTCTTGATCTTCTTAACAACGAAAAGTATACTAAAAGTGATAATATATAATGAACATTATTATATTACATTAATTATTATATTACATTATTATATTACATTATTATATTATTACATTAATTTTAACTTATGTCTTTATTCTTTTAGGTACACGAAAAATGCTAAATCATCTTCAGAAATCTTTAAAGATCGATCGATGTCACCAGAACAGTCTGTTGTTTATTGGACTGAGTATGTTATTCGTCACAAAGGAGCCCCACATTTGAAATCGAATGCATATGCATTAACTTGGTATCAATACTACCTGTTGGATGTAATTTCAACAACAGTAATGTTTGTTTTCATCGTACTTTTTGTTACATACAAAGTTCTAAAATTAGGGTATAATTATGTATTTGATAATTTTAAACAAATTAAAACTAAATGTGAATAAATATTAAAACCCTTTTTTTTTTCATTTTATAATTTGAATGGCCAATATTTATGCAAATTAATACACGTATTTGTACTTATTATATTAATATAATATAATATATATTATGGGTCAGCTATGACCATAAATAGACCCATGATATTAGGGATGGGCAAAATATTTTGAATATCGATTTTCAATGAATAGATATGTTTGATGTATAGGTGAAAAATCATCGAAGTTTAAAAACATCGTAAAAATTTTTTTCCCTCTAGGACTACTATCTGTTACACACCTTATTATCTGTACAGTGTACTATTTTCCTGATTAAATAATAAATGTAAGAGTTAAAATACTATTGTTTAACTCAGCGGTTGCCAACCTTTTGGACCTCACGGACCACTAAATACATACTCTAAATTTTACGGACCACTTTTAGCTTAAAATCGCTTTTTACATGAATACCGTTAAATAAATCTATGAAATAATTTTTTTCGGTCATATTTAACTTGTTATTTTCATTGTTTACTGAAATGGATCTATTATCCACATAATATCATGTTTAAGGTCTTATTTTTTTGGGAAATAACGACAAAAAGATTCTGTAAGTACCTAACATTCAAATTTTTCTGCGGTCCACTTAAATTTTCTCGCAAACAACCAGTGGTCCACAGACCACCGGTTGGCGACCACTGGTTTAACATATCTTTTAAATACATATTAAATACTTAAATACGTATTAAATACAGGGCTCGTGAGTTCATATATTTGCATATTTTCTTTGCTACACCGAAAAATATGCTAATTGAGATAAAAATCCGTTTCATAAAATGGTAATAAAAATGTAAAGTTTAATAAAGCATGTTTTCGTATGTTTTGTGTGTATTGACATATTTGGCATATAGTTAATTTTTTTTTTTTTTGAGTTATTAGCGCATATTATTTCATGCTAATTCAGCAAAATCGTTTTTCGTGGGAGTCAAAAAAAAAAAAAAAAATTAGATCCATAAATTATTGAATTCATTCTATTCTTCCGAATTTTTTTATAAAATCTTAAATCTTAGTATTTTATCAATGTTTTTATTTTTTTGTGACATTAAGTTTTATAAGATAAAAGCAATACCACGAAAACATTGTTATTGCGCATCACTACCACTCTCCTCCTATTGACGTGTCCATTGCAATCTATTTATTTTCGTTGAAACATGTGTTTATTAATTATAATTTTAATAAAATGTAACTGAAGAAAAAATATAACTTTTAAAAATATGAATGGATAATTCTTATTCTTATTATTTAAAAAAATGCTTATATATTTTTTTCGTACATAGTTAAGGATTTTTTAATGCATATTTGATCAAATGTTAGTGCTAATTTATGCGTTTTTAGTGATGAACTTGTGAGCCTTGATTATAATTGTATAGTATATACTATATAACGATTGCTGTATACTAAAATAATACAAACAAAAAAAATTTGAACATTTTGAACATAAACATTGATGTTTAGTCGATTAATCGAAAACAAAACATCGATATATCAAGCTAAAACATCGATGATTTAAAAACATCATTGTTTTTTGCCCATCCCTACAAGATATTATGGTACAGCTGTGACCTTCCAATTTTGCCGAAGCAACAGCTGCGTAGCGCGAGGAGTGATAGACGTTCGGTCTCGTATTTTACACGTTCAGTAACAGTAATGGCTGCTCCGTCACGCGGTTCAATGTGGTCACGTGTCGTGATAATGTTACTCGCGTGCGTCAATCTCGTGACGCTGCCCGTGAACAGCGCCCACATACTGGCCGTGGAGACAGTTTGCGGCAAGAGCCACTGGAACTTCATGAGCGGATTACTCCGGCCACTAGTGGGCAGCGGCCACACCATCACCGCGTTTACGCCGTTCCCTGACGGTGACCGGGAGAATTATACCGAAGTGGACATTTCCGGATGTATGAACTGCTTCCGAGACAAGGACCTGAAGGGCATGATCGCGAATCGGAGCAATTCGATGGCAATAATCAGCAAGTTCGCCTCGTTAAGCAGAGAACTGTGCGATACGGTATACGCCGACGATCGGATGATCGAAGTGTTGCGGCGGAACGGAACTTCATATTTTGACCTGGTCATCATCGAGACGCTGACGTCAGAATGCGTGTCATACGTAGCTACTATATTAAACGTACCTGTGATCTACGTGACGCCGCTGTCCAAAACGAGCATGATAGAACAGTATATCACCGGCCATTTTTCTAACCCCGCCGTCATCTCGCACGCGTTGTCCGACAACGACGTGCCAACTACGTTTATCCAGCGAATGGTCAACGCGGCTCTGCTCGTTTATGGACTAATCTATAATGACCTCACGGTGTTCCGACTGAGATGGTCGAATCCCAATCCGTACGATTTGGTTCTACTCTCTAAACCGTCTTTGGTGTTCGTTAACAGCCATCCCGTGATAACCACTCCCAGTCCAGGGGTCACAAATATCATCAACGTGGGTGGCATACATCTGACTGTCGCTAAAAGCTTACCTCAAGTAAGAAATATACACATTTCTATATACAAATAATATAATCAGGAAAATCTTAACTTATACTTGGAATAAAATAATAAATAAATCACTGAAAAATGATTCTAGAAGTATAAACATATGCCCACCGTTACAGTGTTCTTTAAATTCGATATTGTTTCTTCATGTTAAGTCGAAAAATGCAATATGGATTGACGACCACATATATACTTAGAATATGGTGGAATCTAGCAAGGTTGATATTGTGCTGAACACATTAGCGTAGCTTTTCTCTAGATCAGTAATTTCTTAAGTATAATCCATGGAACCTAAGACACTATAGGTATTGTAACCGTCCGATCAGGGTGCAAAACGTTCACACTTGAACGATCACACCAGTGGCGTATATAGGTGGGTATCTAGTGGGCTACAGCCCCCACCCCGAAATGTTTTAAAAAACTTAAAAATTATTTTAAACGTATCTTATATTTTAATGGTGCTTTATATTTATTTAGAATTTGCATCCAACGTCAAATCGTTTTGGGACATTTTGTAAATGAAATGTAAATAATTACCTACTGTGTCTTGTTTGTAATTCTTAGATAGTAGTGGTAATTTAACTCTGTCTACAGTAGCCCGTCCCGAAAATATTTTCTATATACGCCACTGGATCACACTACGGTAAAAGTATAGTTATTTGTTGCTAGATTATTACAAAGTATAGTTAGTATCAAGCATAGGCCTATGTAGTTAGAAATAATTTCAATTTTTAATTGGGACTCTTGGTACTGTGCCATGGAAAATGGATAAAATATAAAAAATTGTAATTAAACCTAACCAAGCCCTACGAGCCGAGTCTACATGCACTACTTCTGTAGAGTCTCTACACGAGTCATGGTGAGATCACATGGCGAGTTAGTGTTTAGATAGTCTCATTGCTGGACCACTCTGTGGTCTGCTTCTCGTCGGAATCGGTTCTTTGTCATTATTATTCTTTAATTTAAATTTTTTTTAAATTAACAAACAAAGAGAAAGTGCAAATACAACAGTATATTACACTATAATGTGTAGTATTTTTTTGTAAATGTTTACAGGTTTTTTTTAATGTTTTTTCACGAATCATTCATAGCATTCTGAACTTTGTGTTGTGGATTCTTAGGATTCCAGATACAAGGTACTTGTTCATAGAGCTCAAGGAACTCCAAAATAAGTTCGTTTGACCCTCCATGTTTTTATACAAATTATTTATTTAAATAAAACCAAAATAAATGAAAAAAACTGAAAAAAAAATACTAATTATTTTTTATTCACCATATAAACGAGCCACGTACGTCAGTAGAAACAAACTCGTTGGATAGGATTGATGAGCTGAGCAATGAGCGCGGATCATCTCTTTTGACTCAGGTACCAAACATTCGGAAAGACTCAAGTTGCGCCACGCTAGACCTAACCCACGACGCATTTGCTTTAGCGAGCTTTATCAAGTCCCGAGCTGGTAGCCGCACCAAATTGCGCCGAAGCAACAACTGCGTAGCGCGAGCAGTGATAGAAGTTTAGCCTCATATTTTACACGTTCAGTAACAATATTGTGGTGTGGCTGCTCCGTTAACTGCGCCACGCGCCGTGTGATCCCATCATTACAAAACTAAAAATACCGAAAGTCAACTGGCACATGCGCATTTCTACTTATAGTTCACACTCATAATTTATTCTAGAAAAGGGCAGGTTATCACTCCGATAAGGTTTTGTTTCAATCGATCGTTAGCTGCTCGTGATTTGACCATAACGTATGCATTACCGACAATATAAATATTCCAATTTAAAAATAGTTAAAAAATATTTTACCGACCCGAGACTGTAGTTTAATCGGACCTTTGTGTTTCATTACTTATAGTGTAAATAGTGCCTAAGGATTCTGTGGGACAATCTCAAGGATTTCGCTTGATATATGTGAATATTGAAAGTAGTTGATATGAGAAACAATAAAAATAAACTATCTTTAAAAATTTTTTTGGAGGATTGGTTTTTCTAATGAATAATTAAAATATTGAGATTAAGTTGGAGTTAGAACCATAGGGTCACACGAAACACAAACAATTTCCATAGAATTTCTGAACTCGTAAAATTTTGGAAACTACTGCTCTAGTTAACTGCTTTGATATATTAAGAAAATCTTATTTGAATTTTTACATCTAATTTTATGTTCAAGGCGTTAAAATTAAAAGTTTAATTATCAATTACAAAAAA